ACTGCAAGTGCTGGGCCCGTGAAAGACTCCCTCTCACCACCCTCATCAGTGACGACCAGTGGGCCCGTCTCCCGCCGCACACAAGACACTGCGGGCTCTTTGACGAAGACCCAGCCCTCCTTGACCTGCAGGCCGACCTCGCGAGGGACCCGCTGCCACAGCCCATACCGCGGCCCTCCCCTGAGGGAGATCCTGCGGCTTCAGCCCAGGACACCTACACCACCTACCTTGACCACGACACTGGTTGGACATGGGTCTACGCTGCCACAGACGGTGCATGCACCAACCAAGCCATCCCATTGCTAGCACGAGCGGGTTACGGCGTCTACTACGGCATCGACCATCGCATGAACTACAGTGCACGCGTCCACGGCCTAACGCAGAACGCCCAGGTTGCGGAGACCCTCGCCATCGTCCACCTTACGGCATGTGCCGAACGGCCCGTGCACGTTTTCGTGGACAACCAGGCGGTGGTCGATGGGTTCCAAAGCATCATCGACGGACATCCAGCGCCGCAGGGCACGCACGTGGTCCTCTGGGAAAAGATCCACCGATGTGTTATGGCCAAGCCAAACATGTTCCGCGTCGAAAAAATCGCCAGCCACCTGGGAGACATGGGCATCGACCTTGGGCTCATCGGGCCCATTGCGGAGGAGTTCAACCGTCAGGCTGACGCCCTTGCCACAATGGCGGCACGCACTCACAACCTTCCAGACGACATTGTCGAAGCTGCCAAAACGCGACATCGCCAAGCGACCGTGCTCCATGGGGTCGCTGTCGCTATTTACGAGCGCAGACACCGCACTCTCCCGCTCCCACACCGCAGGGCTGGGTTTACAGCTGCGGAACTCAGCAAAATGGAACCAAACCCCCTGCTGTCGGACCAGGCACCACCCGCGGCTGGACCAGACATCCCGCAGAACCCGGACGAGCTCTGGGCCGAGGCCCAACGAGCGATATACGACGAACAGGAGGACGACCCGTTCGGCTTCGGCGGGGGACTAGACTTCCTGGACGACGGGCCAGCCAGCGCCAACCTTGCCCCGTCGGGCATCCGCACGACGCCCACCTCGACTCCGCCACCGAGAGCGGCACCGCACCCACATAATGACGTCGCTCACCTCCAAGACGCCGATGGACAGGAGGACGACCCGTGCGGCTTCGGTGGGGGATTGGACTTCTTGGACGACGGCCCAGCCAGCGACAACCCTGCCCCGTCGGGAAACCTCCCGACGCCTACCGCGACTCCGCCACCGAGAGCGACAGTGCACCCACATGATGAGGTCGCCCACCGTCAACACGCCGACGATGACCTGGTTGACCCCCGTGGACCGAGTGGCAGCATAGACGACGCTCCGCCGACACCCCACGCTGCTGACCATGCCGCCCTATCGAGACGCCACCCGACTACGCGGCCGACCTCAGAGCCCTCGCATGACATCATGATTGGTCCTACCGTGCCACCCACTCCGTCCCCCCACCAGCGCCAGCCCGCGGGGGCGGCTCCAGCCCCCCCGCAGGGCACCGCGCCAGTCAGGCCGCCGCACCCCGTCCATGCTTCCACTGTTGCTGGGCGTGAGGATGCGGCTCGTCCGACCTCACGGGGCGAGGCCCTAGCGGCTCCAGCCCTGGGGCCGTGTGTTACCCTCCAGTCACCTCTCAAGGGTGACGGCCGTCAGCACACGGGGTGCCGTACTGCGCCAGCCCACCACTTGGCCAGGCGCACTGATGACCTCGTCCCTGCCACGAGGCCTGCGGCCGCTGACACTGAGCAGCCGCCCCTCACCGACCGCGAAACCGAGCTGTCCCAGGCTATGGCCGCTCTTCAGCAGAGATGTGCTGCTCTCGCCGCGGACCTCGCCGCTGCTCAAGCCCGTCAAGGCCCTCTGCTCCAGCGCCTCCACAGCGCCGGGCGTGCCTTCGCCGAGCTGCTTACGCCCTCGCCCGATGGTGCTGCGCCGTCACTCACCATCCAAGCTATACTGTCATCGCTCCGCGGCGCTCCACCTGGTGCCCCGCGCTAATTTCCTCCTTTCTGCCTGCCCGTGTGTACGCGTGGCTCCGCGTCCACGGTGTCAGGGCGTGGGGGCGGGGGGTGCCCCGTCCCTACGCGCCGCTTTGCGGCCAAGCGCCCAGCTGGCGGTCTGCCAAGCCGCCTAGCCACGTGTCAGCACGTCGCCTTCCTTGTTGGGGCCTTCTTTCTTTACGCGGTCTGACAGGTGAGATCTTCACCGTCTGTCCGCCGTCTGTAGCGTCTGTCGCACTGCGCCGGGGGAGGGTTTTTTTGTTGCCCGCCCTCGTATCTAAAGGCTGCACCGCCGCAAATAGTGTTTAGCGAGTTGTCGCACCGCAGTGCGCCTCGCGGACGGACCCTGGTCCGCCTACTTGTCCGCTCTCTCTCTCTCTCTCTCTCTCTCTCTCTCTCTCTCTCTCTCTCTCTCTCTCTCTCTCTCTCTCTCTCTCTCTCTCTCTCTCTCTCTCTCTCTCTCTCTCTCTCTCTCTCTCTCTCTCTCTCTCTCTCTCTCTCTCTCTCTCTCTCTCTCTCTCTCTCTCTCTCTCTCTCTCTCTCTCTCTCTCTCTCTCTCTCTCTCGCTTTCTCTCCTTCGTCCTCCCCTGCCTCCCTCATTGGCCCCCATGCGGCATTGCCGCAACGCCCCCCCCCCCCCCTGCCTCGCATCCTTCCACTACGCGTAACCGTTCATTCCTCCAAACATCGAGGGTGGCGGTGGTAGGATAGGGAGAGGGGCAGGCGGCGGAGGTGGTTTGAGCGGCTGTCATCCCCCCTCCGCACCTCCTTCCCTCTGCAACGCAACCGTTGCCATTTCTATCTCTCCTCGCCCCCCCCCCCCCCCCCTCCCCCCTTCCCTCCTTATTTGAGCGCGGTGGCGGCGCGGAGGGAGAGGGCGCGGGAGAGCGGGGGGAAGTTGAGGGGGGGCGGGTGGTCAATGTAGAAACGGAGAAACACGGTAGTGGGAGGGCGCCATATCCTTCCCTCCGCCCACCCATTCCTCCCACACAAACGCCCTTCACACGCACTACTATCATCCCCCATCCCTTCCCTCCCTCCCCTCCCTCTCACCCTCTTTCCTCCCTTGCGCGCATGTGCGTCTGTGTGCGTGCGTTTGTATGGATGCCTGAACTTGCAAGAAGTATGCGTATGCATGCAATTACGCATGAAGGATATATATATATATATAATATATATATATTTGTATATATATATGTATATATATACATATATATATGTGTGTATATATATACACATAACATAAAACATATGTGTATCTATATGATAAAACCAACGCGAAGGAAGCGGATGGGGGAGGATGGGGAGGCGGGATGCAGGAGGGATGTGGCAGGATGCAAGCGGAGGAGGGGAACCGGGACTATGAGGGAAGGTCCTGTGGGGCGGGGAGGGGGGGAGGGGGGGAGGCGAGGAGTGATCAGTGATGCCAGAAGAGGACAGGGGGAGGAGGGGGCTGGGGTGGCGGCGGGGAAGGGGGAACTTGGGGTGAAGGAGGAGAGAGGGGGGAGGAGGCGAGGGCGGGGTGAAATGCGGAGGTGAGGCCGAGGAAAATGAAGCGAACGACGAGGAGTTTGAGAAAGGGGGGGAGGGGGGCAAGGAGGACGAGGGCCACGGCGACGGCAACGAGGAGGATGAGGAGGATGAGGAGGAGGAGGGGGGAGGAGAAGAGGAGGAGGAGGAGGGGGGAGGATGGGGGATGATGGCGAGGAGGAGGAGACGGGGGAATCTGCGATGTACGCGTCACTGCTCGTTCACAGCTTGCACGCGTGTGCTCATACTAGCCGTCGCATCTGAAAACAACTCGCGATCTTAACCTGGCCGCATGTCCGTTTGATTGCATTGGAAACGTCAGAAAGAATCTCCGCCCAACATAACCATATTCTGAGTCCACGGGAGGATGGCGAGGAGGAGGAGGAGTGGTGGATTACAAAGGGATTCCTTTTATGGTGGAATACAAACGGATTCCTTTTGTGGCGGATTACCAAGTGTTTTCTTTTGTGAAGGATTACGCATTGATTCTTTTTGCGGCGGGTTACAAATTGATTCCTTTTGTGGCGGATTACAGCGGGAATCCTTTTGAGGCGAATTACAAAAGGAATCCTTGTGTGGCGGATTACAATTTGATTCCTTTTTGCGGCGGATTACAAAGGAATCCCTTTTGTGGCGAATTACAAAGGGAATCCTTTTGTGGCGGATTACACATTGATTCCTTCTGTGGCGGATTACAAAAGGAATCCTTTTGTGGCGGATTACAAAGGAAATCCTATCGTGGCGAATTACAAAGCGAATCCTTTTGTGGCGGATTACAAATTGATTCTCTTCGTGGCGGATTACAAAAGGAATCCTGTTGTGGCGGGTTACAAATTGATTCCTTTTTGTAGGGATCTTTCGCGGCCTGAACCTGCGAGAGGTTCCCAAGTTTTTTTTTATGTGTATATATATATATATATATATATATATATATATATATATATATCATCGAGTTTCTATAAAACAAGGTTTCGCCTGATACTCCCTCCGATTTTCTTAAATCCATTGGGTTTGACTGATGCAAAAATCCAAGGGAGTCTCAAGCGAAACTGTGTTTTTCTGTGTGAAATAAATGTAAAAACAATGAAAAAACAGGTTTCGAGTTCCCTGCGAATTTTACAGCAGCCAAGCTCAATGGATTTATAAAACTCTGAGAGAGTCTCAAGCGCCGCCACAAAAGGAATCAATATGTAACCCGCCACCAAGGAATCAATGTGTAATCCGCCACGAAAGGAATCAATTTTTAGTTCGCCACAAAAGGATTCCCTGTGTTACCCGCCGCCAAAAGAATTTGTAATCCGCCACAGAAGGAATCAATGTCTAATCCGCCACGAAGAGGAGGGCGATGACGAAGACAAGGTAGTCGCCATTTAAATGGGCCAAGGGAGTGGCCCACGGGAGTCCCGCGCCGGAGCTTTGTCCACCGCCTACATTTGCTCCCTGGCAGGATGGCAAGCTAGTAGAGATCTGCCGGCACTTCCCGCCTTTCTCCGACGCGGGCAAGATCATTTGGGTGGGCAGGTCTGCCCCCGAGGAAGACGGGGGGATCCGTGGCTGGTTGGGCGAGATGAAGGACGTGCATATCCTGAATCGCAGTGAGTGCATCGAGAATGTGATCGGCCGAAGTTCCAGCCCCAAAGTGGAGAGTGCCCGCCGCTTGCAGCAAAATGGCTCCAGAAGATCGCTGCTGTTCACCGACGATCGGGCAGGGGGATCAGCTTTCTCCGAGGGCGTGTCCGCCGACTTCTTCAAGGCCGTCGACGCGAACAGCGACGGGACTATCGACTTCGGGGAGTGCGCCTACAGCCTCGACGAGGCGACCGGGCTGAGCCCGACGACTACCGCCACGAAGACCACCACTATTACCACGAAGACCATTACCATCACCACCGCCACGAGCACGACGGTAACAGCGTCCACGAACACGGCGCAGACCAGCATCAGCGCGACGGTCACGGAGACCACGGCAACCATGACCAGCAGCAGCGGCACGGCTACGTTTCCGCTGTCCACCCGACCTGCGCAAGCTAAGAACCAAACCCCGCTGCCCTCCGCCAGGTGAGCGACGGAAGAAAACGGGGTGGACTGCGCCGACATTTGCGCGTGAGCTGCCCGCGTGAAGGCGCGCGTGCGCGCCCTCACTTCCAATGCAGCATGGCGCGCTGGCGGCACGCGTGAGCCGCGGCGTATGTTAGTTATGCCATCGCGCGGAAGAACTTATCATTTTCGTCGCTCAGGTCGTGGAAATCCGACGGTGTGGTCGCGGTCAGCGCGAACGGGAGCGGTGCGATCGCGCTGGGCCCCGCAGGAGACCTCGGGCTCTGCGGCGGCTCGTTCTCCGTGGCGCTGGAGCTCTGGCGCGACGCGGCGCAGAAAGACTCGCCAGATGCTGCCTACACGATCCTGGGAGCTCCCGAGGACGACTCTTTCGAGGCCGTGCTCTGGAACGGTTCTCGAAGAAGAGACAGCTGCACAAGCGTAAACCTCTCCTCCTCCTCCTCTTCCTCCTCCTCCTCCTCCCCCTCCTCTTCCCTCCTCCTCCTCCTCCTCCTCCTCCTCCTCCTCCTCCTCCTCCTCCTCCTCCTCCGCATCGAAGAGGAAGAACAACGATATAAACATACACTTTTGGCGCTCCGTGCGGATCTCTTGAATCGGTGCTGGGTCTTCCTGGCGGCCGGCGCCACCCCGGACGCGCTCTGCGCGCCAAGGAGGGAGGTCCAGCGCAGATCTAAGACATCCGCGCGGACATGTGAAACGTTCGGTTTATGTGGGCTTTTTTTTTAGGTTCGCTGGGCGCGAGCTTCCTCGGCACCCGGTGCAGCTCCAGGGTCGCGGTCCCGAAGGAGCGGTGGGTGGACGTCATCTTCTTGTACGACGCTGGCAAGCAAGAGCTCCACATCTTCCAGGAGGGAAAGCCGGTGCACAATTGCTCTCGGATGGATCCGTTCGAGGGCAAGACAACCGCCATCTGGCTGGGGAGGTCTGCGCCAGACGACAAGGCTTAAGTCGGGCCTGTCCCTCTACAGGGGGAGTATTCAGAAATAGTAAAAAAATAGTCTGGGGACTAGTTTTGTTGTATTTTGGGGCATTTTTTGATGATGTTTTGAGACTTTTTTATTTTTCGTCCAAAATCCCCCTGTAGGGGGACATGCCCGACCTAAGACAAGGCCGGCGTGGCACCATGGCGTGGCGCCTTCCGCAGCGTGGAGATCAGCGAGGGGCTGCCCACGCCCGTGGGCCGGGCCGGCGGTGCAGGGCCCTCCCCGGCTGGCGCGGCGCTGGGCGAGCCTGCCGCCAGCGAGCCGCCAGAGGGTGCCGAGGACACCGTGGTGCCGTTGCCCTCTGCGCACGTCGGGCCGTCCACCAGCGAGCCGCCAGAGGGCACAGTGGCGTCGCGGGATCTCACGACCGTCGGGCCGTCCACCAGCGAGCCGCCAAGGGGTACCGTGATGTCGCGGCCCTCTGCGACCGTCGGGCCGTCCACCAGCGAGCCGCCAAAGGGCACAGTGGTATCACGGGATTTCACAACCGTCGGGCCGTCCACCAGTGAGCCACCAACGTCTAGGACATCAACGAGCTCTGCGGTCCTCACACCGTCCACGAAGCACCTGCAGGCGACCGTGGGCCCCACCAGTGCTCAGTCAAGCTCGAGCTCATCGGAAAGGTCGTCTTCTTCCTCGAGTGCAAGCACTACCGCGTCGACTGCAGCAACAAAGGCCACGGCCACGACCATGGCAAAGACCACGGCTGAGACCAAGGCCCAGACCACGACCACGACCATGGCCACGACCAAGGCCTCGACCGTGGCCACGATCAAGGCCCAGACCGAGACCACCATAGCCACGACCACGGCTCCGACCGAGGCCACGACCGCAGAGGCAACTCGGCCAACGACCGCCGCCGTCGAGACCTCCAAGGCCCCGACCGAGGCCACGACCGAGTCCACCACAGCCATGACCAAGGCCACGACCGCGGCCACGACCGCAGAGGTAACTCAGCCCACGACCGCCGCCATCGAGTCCAGCAGGCCGGTGGAGGTCGCCGCAGCCAGCACCTCGGTTGCGGAGGCGCCCTCTCAGCCGGCCTCCTCGGCGACCACGAGCTCCACCCCGCTGACGCTCAGCGTCCCGGCCCCGGCCGAGACGCCCCCTGCCCCGAGTGGCCCGGCGATGCCGCCACCATGGCCCGTCGAGGCCACAGCGCCTGCGGCGGCGGCGGCGGCGGCGACGACCTGGAGAGGTCTCGGGTGTCTCCAGAGCAGGGGCCTCCGCAGGCCCCTCTGCAAGCCTCTGGAGGTCCAAGAGGGGCCCAAACGGCACAAAGAAATCTTGATCCTCGACCCTCGACGACGCGGCGGCGGCGGTGGCGATGGCGGCTGCGGAGGCTGAGGCGTCTACGAGCCGCGCCGCGAGCACCACGACGAGCGCCACGACCACGGCGACCGTCCCCGTGATGAACTTGGCGGGGGGGGGCCGACTCGGCGACCGCCGTTTTACGCGTACCCCTGCTGACCCTCCGGCCCCACGATGGGCGAGAGTTGGGGCATGGTAGAAATACCAGCCTCCAGAAGCCAAGTTTTCCCATACCATACCAAAGGTTGCACCCACAGGGAGGCAGAGCAGGGGCACGTTTCAAACATCGATCACCTACTGAGGGCTTGCATCATCGTTCCTCGCTTCTCGCCCCTCGTGTCTTTTACTGTTTGGTTTGCTCTTTGCCCCCCGAAACTCGTCGCCACCAGCTGGGCGCGTCTCGACAAGCTGGCCAGGATGGACCCTGGGAGGGGACCGTGTCCCAGTTCTGAGCAGATTTTGCCCAGGCGCCGCCAACTCTAAAGTGTACAGTCGGATCTGGTTACAGCCAAGACGCTGAAATAAGGAACAGTTTGGGTTCGGAAGGGGCTCGATGTTCCTTAGGTTCCTCCAGTGCTGTTCCTCTTGCCCTCCTGGGGCACGGAGGCGCTTACAGGGCCAAGAAGGGGCTTCGTTCCTTATTTATCGTTCCATCTTTCAGCTGCCCGACTGTAGCAGGTGTAAGCTGTGATGAGTATCTGCGGCGCTCCTTTGTATCGATTGTCGTGTCCTCTTCCTGTCTGGAGCACGGGTTGTCCTCTGGAGAGGCGCGCGTCCTCTGCAATCAGTCCCGACTGCGTGTGCATTCTGTCCAAGCCTGGAGGGCGTAGAGTCCACAAAAATCGGAACGAGTCGGCGGCGCGCCCGGGGGGAAGTGATAGTGGGCATGCTTTTTCAGAAGGCGGCGGTGCTTCTCAGAAGCCCGCTGGTTTTCTGAACACCTGTCCTGGGCCCGTGAGGGACAACGATAGGGGGGGATGGGCTCCGGGGAGGGGATGCATCGACCCCCAATCGCCCATTGATCGCCGATATGGGTCGAATCAATTGCCACCCCTGCCCAGCAACGTGCGGATTCGCTATCGAGGTCCTATCACCGATCCATCGGCGATGAATCGTCGATTCCAGGTCGATGTTCCCCCCCCTGCACCAGTCTCCCTTATTGTTGCCCCCCAGACCACGAGCTCGGTACGATCGAAATGGGCACGGAAAGACTAATGACGAAGACGGACAGCAGTTCCTGTCCATTGTAAGCGAGACTCGCTGTCAGGGACGCCATGGGCGTTGTCAATGTCGGACACAAGGCCGCCTGCCCGACAGCGGCCGCTGTCGGTTCTGGACAGCGTTAGCGGTTGGGCCTCCTTCCGATGCGTCCCGCACGTTTGGCCTGCCAAGGAGTGGTCTTGGCCTGGACGGGTGCGGGCGTACGTCGGCGGCGAAGTCCGAGCCCTGCCCTCGCCGATGAACGATTCGGGCAACTCGATGGGCGGCGGGCCGTCGGGCGCGTGGCGAAATCCGAATCGTGCCCTCGCCTCCGCTCGGTCCGGGAGAGTCGATGGCTGACGGGGGTATGGTTCGGACGTCGCCACCTCACACGTTGCGCCTGGTCGGTTTCACACGCGCTGCCCCGGTCCAGCATCTCGAGAGCAGAAAGATGAGGGGCACGGGCGTTGTTCCCCTCCGTGCGACACGGACCTTGTTGAACCAGACCTTCTTGCCGATCCCGAGCTTCCCTCCCCTCCTCTTTCTTTTGTTCCTCGGCCTCCTTCTCTTCATCTCTTGGCTCCTCATCCTCCAGTTGCATCCCGACGGTTTTTGTTTTGTGTAAAAGCATTGGGCGTGACAATATCGGAGATTGGGGTGTGAGATCGCAGTGCAACGGAGAGCCTTCCACCGGGAGATCGGTTTCGGTTTCGTGTTCGTGTTGTGCGTGCGGGCGAGGCGAAGCTAAGTGGGCGCACGAGAGGAATGACCCCGCCGTCGCTAGGGCGATTCGGATGCAGTGGACCGCCCCTCCGCTCCCGATGGGCGCGCGGTGGCCTGGGGTGACCCACCGTGGTGTCCTGTGGTGTCTTGTTGGTGTCCTGTTGGTGTCCTGTTGGTGTCCCGTCGGTGTTCCTTCGGCGGTGGGCGGGCGGTGGCTGGGGGTGTCCCGCCTTGGTATCGATAGTGAAGTCGATACGTAGTGAGATCGATAATGAGATCGCTAGAATGGGGCACATAGTGAGAGCAAATTGCGACATTGGTTGTGAGATAGAAAGTGGGGACGATAGTCACATTGCATCGCAGCGCAACATCGTCATCCCGCGTTGTCGCTAACTCGAGGGCACTTACCAGCATCGTCATCATCACACCCATCGCATTTGCCGGCAGTTGGTTATGCCCCCCCCCACCCCCCAACCTCCTTATCGCCCGAAGGATGGTCGTATCGGTATACGGACACACACAGATATACGTGCTCGCTCCTTCAAAGTGGCGCTCCCGCTGCAGCGTTTGCGACACGTCATTCAGAATTGCGCTCTCGCCCCCGCGCGGGCCACGTTTTTGGATCTGATTCCTTTCTCGTCGTTGCCGCCCCCCCTCTGTTCTCCTCCGCCCTCCCCGGGTCCCTTGCTCCTCCGACTTTTGCCGCTCTTGCTGGCTGCTGATCCTCCTCCTCCTCCTCCTCCTTGTCCTCTTCCTCCTCGTCCTCCTCCTCCTCCGTATCTTCCCTTCTCCTCCTCCTCACTCGTCCTCGTCCGCCTCCTCCTCCTCGTCCGGTCCCTCCTCTGCCGATCCCTCCTCTTTCGTCATCCTCTTCCGTTGCCATGTTGGCTCGAGGTGTTGATGCGTCTTGGGCGGGCAGCCCATCTTGAAGGGGTTATCTTGGGCGCAGTGCCCAGGCGGACAGTCACACAGTCTCCCCATTTTACAGTCGGACCGAGGTATAAGATCGAGGTCGGTTCGGGGAGGGTGCCCTGATGATCTTCGTTTTTGTTGGATGTTCTTGTGTATTCTGGGGGAGGGTGCCCTCGAAGGTTCTTCAGTTTGGGCGGCTGCAGTAGGTCTCGTGTTCTTTCAGGACTTTCTTCTGTCCTGGGTCCTGCCGTACTTTTGTTCTCCCAATCAGCCTCGCTCGTGACGCTGTCTGCTGAGGATCTGGCCGCGATTGGTGGCACGGTCTCTGGACAGCTTGCCCCACTTGGATCCGATCTGCAGGCAGTCGCGAAGCATGTAAAGGACATGGATGACAAGTTCGAGTCCCAGGCCTCCGAGTGACGTCTCCAGCAAGAGAGTATGCGAGTCCAAGTTGAAGAAGGGGCACCCCGACTCCCTCACACCCATGGGCGGCGACTTTGAGACAGTCTGTGAGCTGGAGCCCCCCTGCCAAGCTGGTCACGACGGCCGAGCTTGACGCCAAGATCGGGAGCATCGAGGCCAAGATCCTCGACACCATCAAGACGCCCCTCGCTGCGGCAGCCTGTTCCCCGCCTGGGTCCACGAGGTCGCGTGCTTCTTTCGACCTCTGGAGTGGGTTACGTGGCAAGAGGGCCCGTGATGGTGTTGCGTTCTGTGGGCCGCCCGCTGGTGGTATTCTCAATGCTGGCTTCAGCATGCGTGATGACGGTGAGGCAGGTGATCGCTACAAGATATGGATCCGTGGGCTTCCGAGGCGCATCCTGTCGAGGGCCTTAAACCAGCATCTCTTGCTGGTCAAAGCCTCCGTTTTTGACCTTCTCGTGAGTGCTTACCCAAATCGCCAGAGCTACAAGCAATGCTACATGTCGGCAACTGGAACATGTACATTACCAGTGGTGGCCTTCTGTGGCCCGGTGGTTGCGAGGAGTCGCTTGCCGTCTCGTGCAAGAATATATTAAATCGAGTCTCCCAGATCCGCTCGCTGCATATACGTGTCTCTCTCTCTCTCTCTCCCTCCCTCTCTCTCGCTCATCCACAACCTCCGCGCTTGCGACGTGTTCGTCGTGCCCGTTCTCCCTCGCGCTTGGCAAGTCTATCCTCTGACTGATGCAGTTCGGCGGACCGAGCATACCGCCCCGCGGAGAGCAGCCCCCCCCCCTCTCCCCCTCGCCACGCCCAGCTCGATCCTTCGGAGTACGTTGGATGTTGGGATTCGATTGGGGCCCCGCAGCATGGAGAATGCGCATCTGGTGCCGCTGCGCATCGGGCCGCCGTCCGTCCTTCGGAGCTCGGGGAGGTGATGGCCAGGCTCCACGGGCTGTTCCACTGAGTTGTTGATCGGGATGTTTTGTTTTTTTTCCCCGCTTCCCACGTCTTTCGATCGGGTGTCAGAAGAACGTGTTCATATTGTTGCATAGGCATGGTTGGCCCACGTAGGGTGGGTGGGCAGCCGGGTTTTTTCCCCCCCGCACTCTTGACCTCTTGCTGCCTTGCTCGTGCGCTGCACGGCACGCGCGTGGAACACCGCAGCCTTTTGGCCCAGAAGAGGACCTAGAGTCCGAAACGCGTCACCAGCTAAAAGTGGTTGAGATCGGTAATACACCAAGGAAAGCGCGACTGCCCATAAGCGTTGGAATCAGATGACTTCCCTAGCCCCCCACCTGGCTAACCCTGACGACGCGAGCTGCCTGCAGAGGAGAGCTTTCAAGTTCTTGACAGAAAAGCCCCCTTCCCCATTACACTTCCGGTTTTCTGGGGTGTGTTCGATTATTTTGGCCTGGTGCCCCCCGCTTCCCGAGGGTCGGTGATCGTGTCTATCTGAGTTTGCCCTTTGCTAACTGCAAACTCATGCCGTCGGATGGGAGAGCGTATTTGCGCACAGTTTCCAATGCTTGGGCCACCACCCCCAGGCTCAGGCAAGGGACTGATATTTGTCGGTTCGGGTGCTGCGCTGTCGGTGGCGGCCAGGAGGACATGTTTGTTCTTGGGCACGTCCCTCTTTCCCCTGCTTCCCTCTCTAGTCTGTCTCCTCCCGTCGTCTTCCCCTCCTTTGTCCCGACATCAAGTAATGTGGGTGGTAGATTTACCTCAGATGACGCCAGCAGAAACTCATTTTATCCAGCTGTCTGCGGCAAACCCCGCCGCCGCGCCTGTGCAACAACGCAGACGAGTAGTCTGTATTGGGGCGGGTCGAATCCCGACCTCGTCTTCGCACGTGCGGTATGAGGGGGGAGGAGGAGGAGGAGGAGGAGGAGGAGGAGGAGGAGGAGGAGGAG